GGGTTTAGTGGAGTTTAGGGTTTGGGGTTTGGGGTTTGGGGTTTAGGGTTTGGGGTTTAGGGTTTAGGGTTTGGGGTTTGGGGTTTGGGGTTTAGGGTTTGGGGGTTTGGGGGTTTTAGGGTTTGGGGGTTTGGGGTTTAGTGGTTTAGGGGTTTAGGGGTTTAGGGTTTAGGGGTTTAGGGTTCAGGGTCTTTTCGTATACGTCTTGAGGGTTCAGATAGGGTGAGAGGGTTTGGGCTGAGGGTGAGGGTTTAAAATTTGTGTTCGGAGCGGAGAGGCTTTTAGAGGCCCAATCATACAATCATACCCAGTAATACCCCTGACAGGGCTTCCTTCATATCCTGGTGAGGGACTTAGGGGTATGTGCGGTTTCTGTTCATATGTCAAGGCTTCGGAAGCTCCGCCGAACCCTAAACCCTAAACCCTAAACCCTAAGCCCTAAACCTCTAAACCCTAAACCCTAAACCCTAAACCCTAAACCCTAAACCCTAAACCCTAAACCCTACCCCACATCCCTTTGAAAGGACGTGCTGCTGTTCGTTGACAACATCTTCCGCTTCACTCAAGCGGGGTCCGAGGCTAGCCGTCTACTTGGTGTGGCTTAAGATATGGGTAGTTGTCAAAATTATGGTCCCTTTTGGGGTACCCTAAATAATAGGTGCCGTATTATAATAAGGACCCAAAAAGGGACCATAATTTTGACAACCACCCATATGAGCCAAAGCAGCCGCAACCCTATTCTCATTTTAATATAAGGGTTTAGGGTTTAGGGGTTTAGGGTTTACCCATGGGCCCCATAGTAGTTCCTTTTTGGGAATTACCATATAGGATTCTAAATATGAACCCCAAAAAGGAACTACTATGGGGCCTATGGGTAGGGTTATAGGGCCCCTGAAGGGTAGCGTTAACCCTAAACTCTAAACCCTAAACCCTAAACCCATAAGGCCACTGGAGGTTTCTGCTGTTCTGCTCTCGCTCTCTTCGCACAGGTGTCGGCCCTTCTGGGTCGTATTCCCAGCGCTGTGGGCTATCAGCCCACCTTGGCCACAGACCTGGCGTCGCTGCAGGAGACCTCACGCTCTGAGGGTATTGCACTTGGAGGATCATGGGACTTAGTAAGTAAGGGTTATAAGTCCCTTGATTGGGGTTATAAGTAAATATAAGTATAGTTACCATAATTATAACAGTACTTACTAAGTCCCATGATCCTTTAAGTAGACCCTGAACCCTAAACCCTAAACCCCACTTTCTAGCAACCCTACTTTCTAAGTCCCATGATCCTTCAGGTAGGGTTGAGGTTTTGAAGGCGTTTTTGGAGGTGTGGAGTCTCTAACCCTCTGGGGTTATACGGGGTTGCGGGGGATTTGTGATCCTCGTGAAAGAGGGCTACAGAGCGGCTGGGGGTCTCTTAACTTTCAAAAAGTTACTAGGGGTTTGAGGGCTTCCGAATCTCCACCGATGCATGGGGGTTTAAGGGTCTATACCCCTAAACCCTAAACCCTAAACCCTAAAACCCTAAACCCTAAACCCTATAGCCTGGAACGTTGAGGCGGGATGCCCTACAGGCTAAAAAAGGGGCTTAAAGGGCTTTGGGGGCAGATTATGCTATAATTACAGGGGGAGCCCTGACTGCTTGCCTGCCCTGGTATAGCAGCGTAACTGACTCGCGGCTATGCTTCATGAGCCCCCACCCTAAACCCCAAAGCAGAAACCCTCAAGCCCCAAGTTGGGTTTCGAGGCTCCGGCTGCTAGATCATAACACCAAACCGCAACCTACGTCCTGTAAGGCTTCCTTTTGCGGATTTCTATCGCCCTAAACCCTGAAGCCTCAAAACTAAACTAATGTCCTTGAACCAAGCGGCCTCCACCTTCAAGTGAAGACGGCACAAAACTTTCTAACCTCAAGATGCAAGCTTTGGAGGAGCGCATCACCACCACGCAGAAGGGCTCTATCACCTCGGTGCAGGCAGCAGTTTCGGATTTAGGGTTTAGGGACACGGTTCGAGGTTCAGGGTATGGTGCGCAGCGGCTGCATGCGCTCAAGAAAATGACTGGGCCTCACTTTGCCGGAGGCTGTCTACGTACCTGCCGATGACTTGACCGATCCTGCTCCTGCTCACCGCTCAGACTCCGGTTCGATGTGGTTTAGGGTTTATAAACCCTAAACCCTAAACCCTAAACCCTAAACCCTAAACCCTATAGCGTTTGGCTTAAGGTATCTCCGGAGTGCCCTTTGGCATTCGTGAACCCGTTGTTTCTCTTGCTGCTGGGGGTGATTCGCGCACTCTTCTTCCTCCGCACGATTCTGTTCAACTTGGCTGTGCTCCCACTGGGCGTGCCGGCTGGGTGACTTCTACCCGATTCTCCGGGGCGTCTCCATCATGCCAAGGAGGACGAGTGGCCCTCACTCTCCCACGGAGGTTGTTGAAGATGACAGCGATGGCGACGCAGATCTTCGTGCAGAAAGTGACGCAAATGACGACGATCAAGCTGTGCCGTGTGAGAGCAGATCCGTGGGATGTGGACATGGTGAAGACGCGGAACCTCGCCCCATGGTAGTGGATGCAGCGACGAATGGGGTGATCAGCCCGTCTCGTGGCAAAAGACTACGGGAGAGTGAAAACCAAGCCCGGCCCAAAAGGCCCCTGGGGCGATCTCGAGATGAGCCCCCTTCTGAAGGTGGTGGTCCAGATCATGGGGGTGATGATGATGAAGGACGACCCGTCACCTCCAAGGAGATCCGCAAACTGCTCGAAGTTCACCTTGGGCCGATTGCTGCTTCCTGGCGCGAGATGACGGGGCGCATAACCAGCCTTGAGGAGACCGCCACCAGCAGCAAAACAGAGCGTGAAAATCTGCACCGCCGCGTCACTCAGGCTGAGAAGAAAGGGGTGGCCACCGATGAGAAGGTTAACGCCCTCGCCAAGGAGGTAGCCGAGCTCAGGGACAAGAAAACCCCCCCTCGGGGTGCACAAGGGAATACTCTTGACGCGTGGGCCGATTACCGCGCCAAACATGGTCCGGCCCCTGGCATGCCTGGGATGCAACCTGGAAGCCGCGGAGATCCTCCCCCCGTTCCTGATGGCGGTCCCCGGGATGAACTTTCTGAAGAAGATCGTCGGACGCTGATTGTGGGTGGCTGGGCACAAGACAGCAAAAAACAAACCATCCTGGAGGAGAGTCGCGCGTTCCTCGACCGTGAGGGGGTGAAAAACCTCGTTGACCAGAAGGAGCTCATCGTCTGGGGCCCAAGGCGATCCTTTGGGGTGCTGAAGTTCCAACTTCGTGACGGAGAAGAACCAAAAGATGTGCGCGATCGCATGTGGGGCGTCATACAAGCTGCCAGGTCCTCCCCACTCAGCCTCGCATCGACGGCCAGCCTTGGGGTGCCCAAGAATCTTTGGTGCAGCTTTACCAAAACGAGGGAGGCAAGGAAAAGGAGTGCCCATGCCTCGATGATACGACGTGTCTGTTTGGCCATGGTTGGGGATGCAAGAGCCAACTCCGAAGCCCACAACATGTTAGCCTGCACCGATGGGTCGTACGAGATTGACTGGGGGTCGGGTACAGTTTGGGTTGGAGAGTGGAAGCTGGGGTCGAGCGCACACCGTCAACCACGGGGTGAAGACGTCAGAGTCATCGGTTCTGGCTGGCTCGACCTTGCTGCTATCTCCCGAGCGACTGGGGTGGCCTATGATGTGGCTTCGGCTGCATTCGAACGCGAGCTGTGACCCGGGGAGAGTCTCACCAACAGCCTCGACTTTGGGGGCGCACCCAGTGCTTCCCTCTCTCGGGGCGTTTCCACGGCCAAGCATGTGGGTTGTTCAAAACATACCACACGTAAGTTTGGCTCCTGGAATGTTGCTGGTCAGCCTATGTCGAAGATCGATGTCGTGGCTGGCTCCTTTGATTTGCTTTGTCTTCAGGAAGTACAGCGTGGTAATAGTGGCTGGGATGAAAATCTCACTGAATGCTTTGCGTGGTTCACCTATAGGGATGCTCAACAGTGGCGTGGTGTTGGGATTGGTGTGGCCAGAGACCTCTTTGATGCGGTGACCGACAAGGTGGCTTGTGGACGAGGGGCTGCTTGGGTTGTCAGACTCAAGAACCACAAACGTTTGATTTTGTGCTCGCTGCATTGCCCGACTGGGGTGACCGTCGCCAAGTACCATAAGGACGTTCAGGACTTCAAACAAATGCTCCGCAAATGGCACCCTGACCTTCCCATCGTGGCAGGTGTTGACGTCAATGAACCATTGGGATGGAACAACGAAAACACGGAGGATGCCTTCATTGGCTCTGGGGCGAAAACTGATCGTCTCTTGGAGGTCACGTCATCTCTCCGTCTTCGCGCTGTTCCCCCCCTTGGTGACGAACGACGCATGCCCACTCACTACCCCCGGGATGAGAGCCGGGAAGGGAGACACATTGATGCTGTCTTTGTTCGCCTCGTGGGATGTGGACCTGTTCGAGTACGTGCTGACATGCGCCTTGAGATCAACACTGACCATGCGATGATGGAGCTCCAGATTGAGATCGCGAAAACCAAGCCCAGCACCTGGGTTGATACCCGACCACGCTGGGTGGTGCGTGACTGCGCATCCCTTCCTGAAGTTCACAACTTTGATGACATCAAGAACATCGCTGGGACGTTCACTGCACCTCTTCGACGTCGGCGCTACTGTGAGGATGCAGAACTCAAGGACATGATTGCCAGTGCCAAGAATGCCCCCAGGGATGATAAGAAGGAACTTTGGAAGCGTGTACATCATGCTCGTCGCCGTCGAAAACGTGCGTGGCAACAAACGCAGATCACTAACATCCTCTATGGCAACTGGGGTGAGTATCGTGACTACAAACATGGTCTTCGGAAAGCCAGTTGGTGGGGTGGGCTCCTCTCCTCCAAAACCAGTGCGGACGTTGCGACTGAAGTGCAGGACTTCTTGGGTAACAAACTTTGGGATGTTGCTCGTAATTGGCGGGATGACCTATGTCACCGTCTCGCACAAGTTCCCTGCCATCCTGATGCCCTCGTCCATGTCAACATTGAGGAGATCAACACTGCCCTACATGGGATGAAAAACCGTTCTGCCGTCGGGGTTGACCGTGTCTGCGTGGACCTCCTTCGCCGCCTTACCATGGAGCAGCCCCTGGCCATGTGCAATATGTGCACCGAGGTTCTAGCTGGCGAAACTCACCCGAGTGATTGGGGTGTTTCTCTCCTTGCTCTTCTTCCCAAGTGCCAAACTCCGTCTCATCCGAAAGACCTTCGGCCTATCGCTATGGGGAGTGCCGCCATGAAAATGATGTCTCGCCTTGTCATGGGGCGCACCTTCGGTGAACTGCGGGCACCCTCCTGCTGTGCCGCCTCTGGTCGTGGACGACAAGCGGCCGATCTCATCGGGGTGTTCACTCGCTTGCGAGATGTCTGTCGTGAATGGAGGCAAGGGGTGATTGCGGTCAAGCTGGACGTCAGAGGAGCCTTCGACTATTCATTGACCGCGGCTGTGTGGCGGACTTCTTGCAGTCGCGGCTTGACCATCCGGGGATGGCACATGAACTCAGGTTCTTGCTCCTTCTTCTTGTGGAGAACACTATGTGTGGGGTGGCCCCTGGTGGGAAAGAAGTTACGGTTGACGCCAACCGTGGCATTCGCCAAGGCAGCCCTGAGTCAGCTGAGCTCTTCGGGATGATCGTTGCCCATGAACTTCAGTCCCTTCGCCTCGGTGAACAATGGCGTTGCAGTACGGCTGGCCTCAAGGACATGCCCGTCGATGTGGGATGCTTCCAGGATGACATCTTCCTTTGGGGGGACAATGCTGACAAGATTGAAAAGAACATCCAACATGTTGCGTACATGCTCGCCCAGCTTGGGTTGTCACTGTCGTCGGACAAGACATGCATCGTCACCAACGCGCACTACAAGGGACGGCGAACTCTACAAGTAGATGGCGAGACTGTGCACTTCCGCCCCCTTGGCTCGTCCGTTCGGGTGTTGGGGGTTGACTTCGACTTCGACGCTGGGGTGAGTCAACAGAGCCGTGAGATGATGGGTCGTACCTGGGATGCATTCCATGCTAACAAGGCGATTCTCTGTGGCCATGCGAGTTGGACGGCGAAAACGAAGATGGTACGTTGCCTGATCGAGGGAACATGGTCGTGGACAGCTGGGGCGTTACACTGGTCCAAAGATGACCTTATGATGCTCAATTCTGCTCAACTTCGCATATACCGTCTCGCCTTTGGGGTGAAAAGAGGACAACATGAGAACTGGGTTGACTACAACAAACGAAGCCTACGCACTATTCGAGCCTGGATGTCTGCCAATGGGGTGGAGCGATGGAGCACGCGTGTCACCAAGTTCCAGTACTCCTTGCTGGGACACTGGTGTCGTCGACGAGAAGGCGATGATGAGTGCATGACGGCTCTGATGCTGGGGTGGCGCAATCTCAAATGGTGGAGGACCGAACAGAAGAACCTCGTCAATGGAAAAAGGCACCCACGGCGATTTCACGCTACTAACACGGAGCGCGACATTGCCGAGGCTCTGGGGGTGGATTGGAAGCTCGCCACGACAAACCGCGAGGGGTGGAAAAACCTGTTGCAGTTATGGATTGAGTTTAAGGACGTGCCATGGACCCGCTCCAGACAAAGTAGCCTTGAAGATGCTTGAGGGTTGGCTCGTTTCTCGCGAGTGCGTTGGAGGCTGGGATGATTCTCTTTGACATTGAGTTGATGCAGCAGCCGCGCAGCTCGTAACCTTCGAGCACCACCTGTACTTCCTTTTGCATGATGTAGACCCGCTCAAGCTCCCTCAGCCTATGATGATGATCAGGGACGTCAACTTCACTATGTTCTTCTTGCCCTCTTCTAGGACGTAGCCTCCTTCGCCGCCTTGCTCACATGATGCGCCCTGTCTTGCCTTTCGTCGCCGCCGCCGCTGGGCTGCTCCTGGGTTGCCTGGTTCAAGGTCGCCCTCCACAACATGCTCGCCAACGTCGTGTACATTGGGATGACCAGTGGGATGATGCACCTACTAACGAGAACGAAGAATGGGGACGCATGGAACCACACCCGGAGCCTGCTACTGGAGGGGCGAACAGCTGGCAAACCACGAGCGGCGACCTCGGTACTGGTCAGTGGGGTGCACACTGGTCGCCCAACACCTGGTCCGCCTCCAACGACCTGGGACATGGACAATGGGGTGACCACTGGACTTCGGGCACATGGTCGCCGACCCCCCCTACGTGGTCTTCGGCATCGACGTGGACAACCTGGAGCCCATCGCCTTCCTGGTCTTCTTCCTCTACGTGGCAACGACGCAATGATGACCATGAACGAGGGGGGTGGCCAAGACGTGAACCCGAACATGAACGACACCATGGACAAGCTCGCTGGGATGACTGGGAATGGTCGCCGTCCTCCTCTCACGCGACAAGAGGGGACACCAGAGACAGAGGTGGGTCTGCTTCCTCTACGTGGCGACGCAGAGATGACACGGACCGAGGGGGGTGGACAAGACGTGAACCTGAACCTGGACAACACCGTGAACAAGCTCGTCGGGATGACCGGGAAGAGCCAGCTTCCTCCTCACATGCGACGAGAGGAGACACTCCAGCCAGGGGTGGTCGAAACAACGATCGCCATGACACCTCGGAGCCCACGGACGGGCCGCGTTTTCTACATGTGCCTGGCTGGGGCCGGGGTGCACCTCTCCACCCGCAAGAACTTCGAGCACAAGGATTCTATAGACACAATGAATGGGTTGACCGCCAGCGCGACGATTGGGAGGAAAGATTCCATCGTGGTGGTGGTGGTGACACACGTACTCAACGACGTGAAGGTCGTCAACGTGACTGGGATGATGGGACGTTTCGTCCGGTGGCTTTCTGGCAGGCCTACAACCGCGGGGCGGACTACCAGATTGACGAGACGGCCCGGGCAACCTTGCGAGAAATCCTGCGTGCCTCCGACCCGATGCGGGGGCGTCAGCCGGATGCAAGGACAACAAGCTCTAGCAGTACCTCTCGGGATGGGCCCCCTCCGGTCCAACACCAGTGGCGCAGTCGGGGGGAATCTGGTGCCGTCACCTCGCCTTGGTGGACCCTACAACAATGGAAGGACTGGGGTGATTGGCATCAAGCACCGCGGACCGTGGACACCGCTCTCGTCGATGGTGCTGATGATGTTGGGGTGGACTGGTCTATCTCTGGGCTGCCCTCGATTGGAGATCTACTACGTCTTTGGGAGGCAATGGGTCGTCGCGCACACACTCTGAGTACCTCCACATCCACTTCGTCTACTACGCCCTCTGCCCTTGGTGATGGGGCGTGCGCTGCCAGTGTGTGTGGGATACCTACCATGGTAGACGTGCCCGACGTCGTCACCAACGCGCAACATGATGACACCGAAGATGGGGATGAAATCATGATGATGCAGAGGGATGGTGCCTCTACCCGCACCAACGCTGCCGAAGAGGAGGAGACACAGGACCCACAAGGTGAGGAAGACCAGAGTGATGATGGCCTCCACACCTGGGGTCTGACTACACAGGAGAGGGACGAGCTCATCTCTGTGGGGTGGACAGATGGGATGTTGTCTGATCTCAACAACATGCTTGAGTTCCTCCAGGATGTCGGCGACAACAGTGGGGTGGAACATGTGGCATGGGCACTTGGGATGTGGGCCTACAGTAACATCCTCGCCGAGACCACGGTGGAGCTTGTCAATGACGTTCTCTTTCGCCGCGTCCAAGGGGTGTCCGAAACATATCCCAACGAATATGGTACTCGTGGTCGTCTTTGCGCTGGGTTGGCCGGGTTCCAAAAACAGCTTGGGGCGTTCCAGTGCGGGATGGTGCAGTCACGACTACAGGATGCTTGGTTTACGGCCAACGACATTGGGGAGCCCGCCCCACGTACTCCAGCGGGTGAAATGCTGAACCTGGACCACGACAACACTGCCCGTGCTCTCAATGTGGCCCGCCAGAGAGCCCGTGCCATGATCCAAAGGGCCAGGGCAGCCGCCACAGCTACCTCGGGGGGTGCATCCTCGTCGGGGAACAATGCCTCCTTGCCTGGGGACGTGCCAGCGCCTGCTGTTCTACCGGTCTCCGTTGAACCAGCTGCGGGGGGTGTTCCTCCAGCGGACGTGTCGGACGCGGACAATGGAGTGAACGTTCCGATGAGTGAAGATGGGGAGGACGATGCAACCGCCATGATGCAACTGACGCCTGCCGAAGAAGACCAGTTGCAGCAGCTTGGGGTGGATGATCGTGTACGACGTCAACTTCGCGACCTACTTCGTGGACTTTGTGACCAGGAGACCAGAGGGGTGGGAGCTGAGCATCGTTGGGGTGTCGCGCAGGTTGTGGAGGCTGCACGTCATGCTGAAGGGGTGACCCGTGTCTTGGTGGAGATCCTCGAACGTCGCACACGCCCGTCTCCTGCCATGACTTGCTGGCCGTCGCAGAGAATCCCTCCGTATGGGGTGGTACGCTCGAGAGTCGCGGCGTGGATCCAGCAGTACCGCCATGCCCTTGTACAAAACTACCACCTGGAGGTTGGGGCGGCCATGTTGGAACTGACGGGGTGCCCGCCTGTTGGTGCGCCACATGGTCCGGACGTTGCGGCTGGTGCTGTTCGTGTACGTGACCGCCGGGGTGAACCACCACGCGGCAGCCGTTCGCGTTCGCCTCTACGTACCCCACCGCGTGGTCAACGGGGTGCACTTCGTGAACCACCAGGACTTCTCCCTCCTGGGGTGTCAGAGACAAGTGCTGTTGGGGTGTCCACTTCGGTCTTCGCTGCTGCGGCTGTTGGGGCGACCACTGCACCTGCTGGACCTGCTGGTGAAGTACTGTCTGCAACTGGTGGGGCGCTCGCTGCGGAAGCCGTTCGAGCTGCTGGTGGGCTACCTGCTCCTCCTCTTCCGGCTGTACCTGACGGTGACGTGTCCGGAGTCGACGTTGCCACTGGGGTGACCTTGTCGTCTGCTAACCCTGTTGGGGTTGAGCCTGCCGGGGCCTGTCCCGCCGCAGTCCAACCGGTGCCTCCTGGTGCAGATGGGGGCATGCCACCTGGTGTTGCTGGGGGTGAACCGCCTGCAGCTTCGGCACGTCCTGCTCATCCTGTTCCTCGTGGCCGCGTTCCTGCTGTTCTACCTGCACCACCGGTCCAGGCTGCTGCTGGGGAGGACAGCCGCATGTCGTTCGTGAACGATGGGATGGAAGCTGATGTTGAGGACGTTGACAATGGCCCTTTGAGCACTGGGGTGGAACAGTAGAACTGACCACACTAAAAGGTGCACCTTGGGGTGAAAAAGTCCGCTGAGAGTGTCGTCTGAGTCTGAGTGAGCTGCCTGAGTAGTGCTGTGAGCATGTGTTTTCTTGAGTAGTGATGACATGTCTGGGATGTCTCCTCCAGTGACAATCCTGTGTTTTCTTGAGTAGTGACGACTTGTCTGGGATGTCTCCTCCAATGACCACCCAGGTTGCGAGAAGTATATTTTATTCTGACTGTTGTGGGGTGTAACATGCTCTTGAAACTGGGGCGTGTCCACCCCCTGGTGTAAGCCTCAATGAGGCAGGCGTGACGCGCTAACAGTGTGAAAGGCCGTTGCACTGTAAAAAAAAACCCTATAGGGTTTAGGGCTTAGGGTTGGCCCAGAAAAGTCAAGGTGGAACTCCTCTGGGCATCAGTTCGTCGAGGTTGCATTGTGCCCACGTCGAAAAGCACTTATTAGTTGCAAATGCACCTAGACCTTAACCCCACCCTCCAAACTTGAACCTAAAGCCCTAAGCCCTGAACTCGAAACCTTTCACTTGTTCCCCCAAACCTCTAACCACATTCCAAACGAATACATGTCGTGAAGGATGTCGAGAGACACGTTCTGAAAGTGTACCCATTCGCCGGCTGCAGCAGAAATCTCAGCCCTCAGCCGAATAAATCGTAAACCCCGAATCCGAAAGCAGGCGCGTTCCGACGTGAGCGCCGAAACCAGAATCCTTCTTCCCGGTACCGTGTTTCATACCTCCCGACTCGGACATCCCGTAAATACTTCTCTTGCCGTCACCGAGCGCAGAGGCCACAACCTTCGCGCACTTGGATGCCACCACGGCCGGAACCTCAAGTTGGATCATATGGGAGTTTCCGAAAAT